GTCACACTTTGTACATTCTAGAGTTTGGCAGGAGGTATTTTAAAAAATTCATAACTCCACCAAACTTTAACAGAGTGTAATTGTTAAACCTTTAAAATATCAACAAAAGGTTAAACATTTGCATGTAAAACATTCAGCTTGTTAGAATAAAAAACTTTGTTTTGGCAGCATCCAACATTTATAGCTAAATCTGAGCATCTCCCAAGGCAAATTAGCCAGAAAAATTAAAAAAATGAAGTGACCCAAATAAATGTGATATTTGTACATTGGATATAATGGTTGACTTTCACAGAAAAATCAGGCCAATCGGTGAAGTTCTGAAATTTGCCCCATCCATTCTTACACAGCCTATTAAAACCTCAAAATTTTTCAGTTAATCGATAAGTGAATGCACAAATGCAAGTTTTAGAAAACAATTCAATCTGCACTGTTTTGCTTAAGTAAAAAGTATAATACTAAGTTGAGAAATGTTTGGAAATCTTGGAAGGAAATTAATTTTGGTAAGAATTCTACTCAAACAGTTAGCCCTTGATTTCTATGAGGTAATAATTGATTCGGTCTTCAGCCTCATCAACATTTACTATCACTTCATAGAAATCTCAAGCTCATAGTCCAATTGTTAAATAGATTTTCAACATAGTAATGTCTCCACAATGTTGCATTAGGGCTCTGAGACACCTTTGTCCCCAAATGGTCTACTTTTTTGTCGTATAACAATATTTGGTGTAAACTTGATAAATTTGTTTTACTTTTAGAGGGGGCCTTCAGTTACGCATCACTGGCACCAATTTGGATACCATCCAGAAACCAAGAATGTTTTTTATTTATCCCTCACAAAATGGTACCTCTATTACATCGGCAGTTCAGGTAAGAGCCAATAACACTTGAGATAACACTTAAACAGTACTCCTTGAGAAACACAGTGCACAGTTTTGCTTTCAGTGGCTGGCATATTGATAACATGCATAATTTTTGTAAATGTCTTTTCTGTACTTGGAACCTTGTTTGTAAGGAAGAAAAGAACTTCAAACGTGTCACAATACAAGCTTGCTTCAAGTGTTCAGTGCCAGAATTTATATGCCCATTCCTTCAAACTTCAAACTTCAATGCCAGTACCCTGTGTAGACATTCTCCCATGGGGCATCATGGACATTACAGCTTAGTCTACATGTACATGCAGACATTTACTATTTGCTTTTCTGTGAAACACTGTTGCTAATCGTGTTCCAGTATCTTGAAATTCACATGTTAAATCTTGCTTAAATTATAACAATGATAATGATAATGATAATGATAATGATAATGATAATGATGATAATAATGATAATGATAATGATAATGATAGTGATGATAATAATAAATTTTGGTTGAATTGGTTGTTCATCTTTTCCCATATTTTTTACTCAGTTTTTAACTTGTGAATTGCAATAGCAAGTTGCGAGTTGTTGGTATTGTGCAGATTATGCAAATGAGTGGCCAGTCACTCATCTGTTAAGTTTTTGTGTTATTCCTGCTGACCAGGAAATAAAATGTTAGAAATCAGAGCATGAGTAAATAGTGTGGGCGCATATATCATATTAGATATTACGTAGGTACGCTTGTTGCACTAAAACAGGAAACTTTAATTTATTGTTTGCTTTCAGTCAGAGTTCATTGACAGTAAATTAGAAATAACAGACAGAACAAAGCATAAGCTCAATATAAGCCAAACACTGTGCTTAATAGTGAGCCAGAGGTGAAATTGATGGAAACTGATATTGGGTGATTCCAGAAAATATCCACACCTATGCCACGGGTGGCTTTTTGGAATTCTGGGTGCAGTGGGGGGGTTCTTTGTACTGGAAGTCCAAAAGCATGGTGGTACTTATGATTGGAATTCCAAGGGCATTGGGGGCTTTCTAGAGAGGACAGTCAAGAATGTGAAAGCACAAACCAACTGACGACACTGTTGACTACTGCGGAAAGCAAGATACAAGACAAGCATCCATCGATCACACATGTGTTCGTGTTTATTTACAGAAGAAAAGCTATAAAATCTGGGTTGTACATGGGGCTCTAGAGGCCTTAAAGTTAATGAATTTCTTCTCAGAAAATTGTTTGCGTCGAACGCCAACCCGCCATGTTTGTTTTACCATGCACCAGTGATACATTTTCATAAAGAAACCACTTAAATGGTGTCTGAACAAGTGAATATTGTCCATACTATTGAAGGTAAATTAGGTAGGATTTGCCCACGCGTGTTCCAGTTTCCATAGTAATAAACACACAAAGCAATTGAAATTTTTATTCCTTCACTAGTTTAGTCACAAACTAGTTTCAAAATTGCGACTGAAAAGGAGGAAGTTTTAGGCCCTGAACATTTAGTCACAAATGCATGCGATTGTATCGGTCACAATTTCAAGCCTTGTAGACAAATTGTTCTCAATTGTTTGGAGGACTGCCAAAAATTTTGAGTGTGTTGTTGTTTTCGTATTGCTTTCATATGAAAACACTTAGAGACTCGTATTAGTTGGTGTCACATCGCTAAGGCATGCAACTGTCACACAGGCTTAGCTTGAAGAAGTTCTCGAAAATGCATCAGAGAATGAACAAGTTTGCAAGTATAGTTTGGGGAATTAGGGTGGTTCATTAATTTTGTGTTGTAAAATTGTTGTCTATTGTTTGAAGGTACACATAACATAACTGTGACTTAGATGTTGTGAATTGCAAAGGATACTACATAAAGGGGTTAATAAAAGTGGTGATATATTAGTCAACACCCCTTCAATTCACAAGTCAAAAAATTTGCTTTTTTTTCACTTTGTATTTAAGATAACAAATCTCACTCCTTTGCTCCTTTCTTTGCCTTTTATTTACTTTTTGTGAATGAGTACTCCTAAAGTTGTAGTTCACAGCACAGTATGTGATGTTGAAGAGAGCTAATGGTCGCTGATGGAAGTGGTTAAGAGGAGGGAACTAATTTACTTACCAACTGATTTGCTTATGGCAGTGATTCCTCCTGTTGAAAATCAGGTTGTCATGCAAATTCAGTTTGTTTTTAAGGAGGCTGGCAACAGTTTCCAGCACTTTTCTAACAGCTATACTTTGAAGGATGAATACTACCACTGTTTACCAAGTGATGCTACCATAGTAGTATCATATAAATTCCCAATCATTGGTAACCAAGTTGCAGTCATTCTTCTTATATAACAGGTTACCACAGCAACAATATGACCCTTAAGTTTAGCTTTAAGCTCTTATAACTCAAAAACGAGCTTGGTGACCCCCTTTTTTATTATCAAATTGTAATCAGCATGATAAGATGCAACTTTTTGCAAAGTTTTAAAAAATTCTGTGCAGGGGGTTCAGAGCCACCTTAAATTTTCAAAAAGTTAAGGTGGCTCTGAACCCTGTTCACAGAATTTCTTAAACTTTGCAGAAAGTTGCATCTTATTGTGCTGATTACAATGCCATAACAAAAAAATGGGGGTCACCGAGCTCGTTTTTGAAAGCGCTTAAAGCTAAAATTAAGGGTGTTTTGTCAAGGGTCATATTGTTGCTACGGTAACCTATTGTGCCAAAACATTCACAGCAACATGTTCACCAATAATTGGGCAGTTTTTTGATACAATGTACCATGATTTAGGCATCAGTCGATATAGAGTGGTTATAATGACCTGACAAAATCTAAGTCTTGGAAAGTACAGGAAACTGTTTCAAGCCACCTTAATATATTTGTTATATTTCACCCCCATTAGTCTAAGATACAGATGAGAGCACACAAATAGACCCTCATAACAGTTCAAATAGCTTAATTTCCTTGGAAAGGACTGGAAAATTGTGGCAAGCATTATGCAGATTTGTTGTCTGTTTTTATTGGGCTTTTTTCAACAACCTTTACAGCCTTTTAAGAGTCCCTGTCCATAAATGTGGAAAATAACTCAGCAAGGGTCGAAAATTCGATTTCGCTCATATTTTTCTGGTAGATAGGCTAGGGCATGACAAAAACTACTGGGTAATTTTTTTGGCAAAATACCCTTTTATTTCAAAGAAATATGCAAATTACCAAATTCCGTTAAAATCATCATTTGACGCACAATTTTATTGAACAAGTTTGAGAGCCTCGCATGCAAAACCACATCATTCTTCCTTCTTTAAAACACGCAAATATTTTTGTGCAGTGTTTAAATGTGTACTGGGTTGATTTTAGGGAATGCTGCGTTGTCTTTTTGGGTGCAAAATAATTAAATTTCGAAGAACTGTATTTCATCCACTTAAAAGTACTTCGTAAAAATAATTGATTTTCACCATGCGTGAAACCTTCAAATGNTTACTTAACGTCATTATCAAGTCAAAGATGAACAAGATTGTGTACAAATATAAATTTAAAAGAATTCCTAAGAGACATGAACTATATAAAAGAAATGTGGTGATGGTGTAACCAGATATTAGCATGCACAGTCACATAAAACGTTTGGCACAAATAGTTTTTTTTTGAGTGTTAAACACAGGTTTCAACTCCTTGATGACGAACATCTCAAAAATTAAGCAAACAAATTTCGATCTTCGCTTTTTCAAGACAGAGAATTGGTTATCCTCTAAAGCAGACTTAGGCAGACCATGTTTCTCCAGATGCCTCCCGATTGCTGAATATCTGTGTTCATGAATGCATTGGTGTAAATGTCTGGCTGTATACCCAACATAATCTGCATCGCACAGATTGCTTTCAAATTTATAGATCAGGCACTGGTTGTTAACAATAGGGGGCTTCTTCTCCTGTGGGGCATGGACTTGATCAATCTTCTTGCTCTGAAAAACAGGTTTACTTCGGACTCCAACGTTGGTGCTCAGACTTTGCATTTGCCGTTTCACTCAATTAGCCAACTGTTGATCTTTAAATTGTAGCTGCAGGGCCATGATATTAGTGCCGTCCTCATTTATAGCCTTGGGTGCATCAATATTCTCGATCTTGTGCAGAAACTTGTTAGGAGCCACTGCCAGTAAATATGGAGAACTTGACGACAGGAACAAAAATTTGAATTTTCTTTTATGAATTTGCGTAAAAAAGGCTCTTTTGCATGGTGAACTATTTTCAGAAATATGCTTTAAAGGTTCCAACAAATTCACATTTTGGTGATATCTAGGAAAGTTCAAATGCTGCCTGATCGACCAAGATGGCTGATGGAATTTATACAAAATTGAGCATTTTCAGCAGGCCAGTACAGAAAGAAGCAAACTTGCTTTGGTTTCAAATTCATGTGCACAGTTTGTAATTTTCGCTTTGATCATTTCTATGAGTGAAATATAATAATATATGTTATAATATATATGATACATATAATCACAATTTGATTTACAAACAAAATTTCAACTAATTAAGTCAACATGGCTGTGGTGATGAAGAAGTAGGCAAGTGTTCGTAACCTTTCTACAGACTGATGTTTTGAGCCTGTTGCATCTTTTAGTGATGTTCATGCCAACAATAGCAATGGTATTCTGCTCAGCTACGTCCATGGCAAACTTCAAGTTTTCGTGGCAAGAGCTCAGTTTGTTGAGGAAAGTGTTGGTTTCTTCTAAGTCAGGCATAATAGTCAGGGTATTGTCCATGTATTGCTTGTAGAATGAGGGGAGCCAATTTTGCTTCTATAGAGCACATGAATGTGTTGGCCAATAATGGTCCAAGGGGTCAGAACCCCTTGCCATGCCCTCAACTTGTTTGTAAAGCATACCGTTAAGTTGAAAAAGTTGGTTTGTAGTTGCAAGTTCAAGCAGTTCCATTTGTTGATCTTTGGTGGTGTTTAGATTGTAGGTTTCATTGAAGCAGTTTCCATAGAAGCCGTTCTCAATAAGTATTTTGATGGTTTCGTGTGCAGGAACATTGTGGAACAGATCATGTCACATCATATGATACCAGTATAAGGAAAACATTTTTTCTCAGACTTCCACATGGGCTTGAAAAGCTTGTACACCATAAGAGGATTTTACTAACTCTAAGGTTGATAGTGATATTTTAGTTGGTTGTTGGATAGTACATGTAACTTAATTTCGTTAACATCGTAATGCTAAGATTTTGTAGACCTCTGACCAAACGATATTAATTAGGTGTAAACTACATCAATTTGGAAGAGCTAACACATGAATTTTAGAGCTTTTGCCTCTTGTTACAAAATTTAGTCCATGTTTAAATGAAGCATTTCTCTGCAGCAGTTTTCCAGTGTTAAAAGAGTAAAAACAATATTCAGAGCACTTGTTGTCTTCCATGTCAACCATATCAACCATACAAATTGTAGTCAAATTTGATTTTGGCTAGCTCCCCAGAGCGTTGATGTATAGGGAGGAGCATTAGTAACACCTTCCCAAAGGGGATATGTCATGCATGATGAGTGTGAGGTGTCTATCAGCTGATAGTTGGCAAGAGGCAAATTCCCTTGCTGGCTATCAAAGTTGATAGAGCCAAAAGTGAGCTGTCTAATTGCTTTGGCATAAGCTACTGACCATGCAATCTATCAAACAACAAAAAATATCATCTGCAGTACAGCAAAGAGTTAACATTTTTAGGAAAGTAATGAAATAAAAAAGTCTCTTCATAAGCTAAGAGCCTTTGAATACTGTGGCAAAGACTAAGTTATTGACTGGCATCAACTACTTTTTTTTTGCTTCATAGGAATGCAAGTCAGTCAACAGCTCATTGATGACATGTCGAAGTCCAGTAGTACAGGGCCTTCTTGGAAATGTCTCACAGGTGGAGGCTCAATTCTTGATGGATGGTGGTATCAAGTTAATGTCAAACTACACCAAACTAATAATGACTCCTGATCCATATTTTGAGCGTTTTGAAGATGGTGTTTACGTTCTTAAGACAAAGAACCTTATCCTGGAGGTATGTTTGGGTTGTTGTTGTAATAACTAATATACATGTATAGATTTAGCCAAGCCTAAAAGCGGAGCTCCTATCACAATAAATTAACCTGGCTTGAGCCTGTGATCCAAGTGAAAACCAGTTTTTGATGAGTGGTAAACTGAAAAAATCATGTGTCTCAATGAGCTCTAAACCTGAGCATGTGATATGGTCATGTGATAGTGGTCAGTAGATACCTTGTTTTGACAGGTGTCAATTGACCATAACAGGGATGCCCAATATCAAATACATACGCTGTAAACCATGGCTGCATGCCTCAGTCAATGTATTAGCTGGAGTATGACCACCATTTTGTGCATAGTCCCCTTTTTTTTGTTGTTTTTAGTGGTAGGGCGTACACACCTGCAATCCACACTGCTAGCCATGTTGACCGTGAAAAAAGAGTTGTATGGTTTTCTTTTTCTATGCATACATGTGGTTCTTTTCCTATAGTTATGGAGCTCCGCTGTTAAGATGGATTCCATTCAAAGTTTGAGCAATACGTGCAAAATGATTTACTAAAAAACTATTCATGGCATGGTAACATTTTGAATACTATTTGAAACATCTCACTTTACTTCAATTCTCTAAGTGAACCGGCAGTAAAATTCTCAAGCATTCTCGAGAAAGGTCATGTCAAACCTCATAAAAATACTTAAGGTATCAGTATACCCCAAAATTGGCCATTTTTCAAAAAAATTGTTTTTCACTGTTTCTCATAAATCTTAGTTTGATCTTTCACTTGAAGAAATTTCTATGAAAAAAGATTGATTCTAAGCAAAGTTATAAACCAAAAACTGTTCTTTGCTTTAATTTCCCTTAAATCATAGTTGTCAATGGGTTGTCACAAGAACTACATTAAAAAATTGGGTGACAGATTGCCATGTAGTACAATTGTCAAAAGATTGTGTTGGGTAGTCAATGAGCTGTCCTGGACATTCTCCGTTTCTAGATTGTTGATTTGAGCTTAAATATGTCGTCAAAGAAATGCAAAAGTTCGTGTTCATTTGCAAATGCAAAGAAAGCACCACAGCAGGAGCAGAAGTTGCTTGCAATGGATGAGGAAGACATTTTACATTCTCTAAGCATTACTTCCTTGGTGCTTTTGCCCTCTTTTGTTGTTTTGGGGTTTTTAAAATCAAAAATAAGAAAAAGAAGTGAAAATTATTTTCTTACTAACCTGGGTGCAGGAGTTGTGGAATTAAGACTTTGCAAAGGATATTTCCCACCGAAGGCAACATTTGAGCCCGCTTTGTAATTGATACAAGCTCTTTTATTAAAGTAAAATGAGCCTTCACTTTATCAATCAACACGGCATTATTTTCATATGGTTTGAGTAATTATCTCATTAATTTAGAAGAATGTCCTGAAGTTTATTTTCTTTCGTATGAGAATTGACAGCTGGGATGAAAGAGGAATTAAAAAAGAGGCATGGTTACACTAAAACAAAGGAACTCTTCACCTTTGATGATGGCTTGGCTGAGCGTCAATCTGCTTTCTTGGTTGTGGCTCACCCCTTGCTAGCAACCTTGACAGCCCTTTATAATTCCGGGGGAGAGGATGAGGGTGACGGTCCTGACCCTGATGCCATTAAGGACCTACTGAAAGATGCTCTAGTCCTCCTTGGAAACGCCAACTTTAGGCTTAATGCTTGGAGGCAAAAGCGCTTCTCTGAGTTCCTCACTGAAGTTTGTAAACATACTCTGCGGGAAGGTATCCCAGCAGATAAGCACCTTATCCTGGATAAGTTCCATGCAAAGATCAAGAGTGAACATAACCATAGCTCAACTAATAGCACGCTTATCAGCACACCAGCCTCAAAACACTTCTTTAAAGGACTACACAGGAGGGGCCCAGCCCTTTCATGGAAACTACCGCACCACTGACAACAGTCGAGTTGGAGGGAAACGGAAATGGGGATATGGCTCCAGGTTTAACCCACAGCCTCCCAAAAGGGCCAGAACAGCAGGATCCACCTCCCAGCAATCTGACCCCAAGACCAGCTCAAGCTGACTATCTGTTCCCATGTCTCGAAATGCTCACACCCTCCACCAACTGATCAGCAACTCGTTTACAGTTTTTTGTTCAGAATTGGAAACAAATAACACTTGGGCTTTACAAACAATTCAGGGGTACCAGATCCCCTTTTGCAGGCGCCCTAGGCAATGGGGCATGAGAGTAACCAGAGTGAAATGCAACTTGGATGCTCACCCTATGGAAATGGCTATTGAGGACTTGTTAGCAAAGGGAGTCATCTGGGAAGTCAAGCTGCAGGACGACCAGTTCACTTCAACCCTGTTCTTAGTACAAAAAGAAAATGGTGATTATCGACCCGTCATCAACCTTTGTGCACTAAATTGGTTCTTGGCGAAGGAGTCCTTCAAGATGGAGGGACTGCAAGTAGTGAAATCTCTAATACAGCAGGGAGACTTCATGATGAAATTAGACCTGAAGGATGCATATTACGCACTCCCAATTCATCCCTCCCACAGAAAGTATCTGCGGTTCATCTATCAGGACAGAACATACGAGTTTCAATGCCTTCCCTTTGGCCTGTCCTCAGCTCCTAGGGCATTCCCAAAGACATTGAAGCCAGTGCTGGCAGTGTTGCGGTCCATGGGTATCCAGGTTGTGATCTACATAGACAACATGTTATTACTCCACCAACAGAGCAAGGTGCTGCAGAAAATCTTTGTTCAAGTGGTAGACCTGCTGGAAAAGCTGGGCTTTCTGGTGAAAAGGGAGAAGTGCTCTCCCATTCCCTGCCAACGTCTAATCTTTCTCGGAGCTGTCCTAGACTCCACAACAATGACACTGTCCCTTCCTCAACCAAAACTTACCACCATTCTAACACCTGCCATCACCTCCTTGCTCTAGGGAGTGGCTCAGTGAGAACCCTGTCCCAAGCCTGCAAATAATTTTTGTCTATAAGCAGGTCATTTGTCAGGCCAAGGACAAGTTTTGACCTGACAAATAGCCAGTCTGATCGGACAAATTCTTTTTTGCCGCTAGAAACTTAAAATAAGAGACATTTGAGACATTTCGGTATTTCAGACCCTTCGCCAAAATGTTTGTTGCAAATTCAAATGGCTTAAAAGTAAAGTCAACTGAGTGTAAAATCAATACTAGCACCAGAAAGGGGACCTCTACAGTAAGTCAGGTATTATTTTACCCCTTGAAAACTGACAAATTTACAAACGTTTGTATTCCTAGTTTGCCTTCACTCACTTGATCAAGTTTCCCACATGTACAGCTTGTCAGTGCAAAAAAAGACCAAAACCCACTCACAATAACATTCAGAGACTTGAACATTGGCTGAAATGAATTCTTCGACGTTTTCTGAAAGCAAGTTTCCCTCGACAATTTTTGGGGTCAATCGAATAAATAAATTTGCGTAGTTAAATGAAATTCAAATTGGAAGTGGTCGTGACTACAAAGCGTGACTAATTTGTACATTCACGTTTTTCACAAAAACATGTCTGTGGCACGGAAACTAATTCAAAATATATTGAACCACAGATGTAAGAAAAAACTTCATAGAGCTATAAAACTGATTTTTGATCATATGGACTGGTAATACATTTGGTTTCGTTTTAGAGGTTTTAGAGTTTTTGAAAGCGATTGCATTCAGATAAACTAAACATGAGAATTTGGGCCATATTTCCAATTTGCATAATATTTAATATTTTAGGCCCAGTTCAGACGCCGAACTTTCCATGAGCTGAACCAAATACATTGAATTAAGTACATGAAAAGTTTGGCGGTTTAATCAATTAAGAATGGCTATTTGAATTTGGAACGGCTCAGCCGTTCTTCCCGCCTAGCTCAGCCAGGAATTTCGGCTTTGGAACGGCTTTGATTCTGACGTCGAACTTTTCGTGAGCCGAACCTAATGCATAAATTATTATAACATATTTTACAAGCAGTTTTCGCTTTGTCTGAAAATCGCTGACATTTCGATGTGATTTGGTTTAAACTAAATAAAGT